TTCTACACAAAAAATTATTTTAATCACATCGTTATTGTCAATTTATGTTTAAAAAATAAAAAATATGTTTATTCATATCTACCACCCCTTAAAATAAGTGCACATATAAAAAAGACACCCTGTATATCTTCCCATCAAAAACGGCATAATAATTTGATGACAGCGTCAAGTTTTATTGCTGTAAAATAAATGCACAGTAATTTAAGTTTAAGTTTCAATTTTTACGGCAAATAAACAAATTGTCTACGTCATTAATTTCATCAAGTAATCCGTTAAATGACAAAAATCTATTGCGCCTATATTATTTAGTAGTCTAAAATTTTATATTTTAACGAAATAATTACAAGATTTATTTTTGTAATTGTGAATTATCCCAGCAAAATATAACACTAATTCACCACAATACACTTTTAACGCTGAACGCTCGTTTCGCTAACCATGTTAGCATCAAATTAAACTGACAAAATTTGCCAAGCGAGAGAAAACCAATCGAGCTTAACAATTAATTACCGAGGCTAGAGGGAGGGGACAGAGAACTGTAAGGAATTGGACCATTACCTCTGTTCATATATTCTTTATACATTTATTTATTTTGACGTTATCATATGCATCTAATTGTCTGTAACTTGAGAGTTGTTTGAATAATTTTAAGTTATTAACATCTATACAATGATCTTTATCAAACATATGTTGAGCAACACAAGATTTATTTGCTCTACCATATATCTTATCTGAGCCATATATGTTCTTTAAATCTAATTGATTTAGTTGCCCAACAATTATTATTTTTGATTACAATTTTTACATGAAATTTCATAAATACCCGACCAATGCAGTGGAGGTGTTTTATCTTTAGGATTATCTAATAGTTGTAATTTATTATGAGCGCTATATAAAAGTTTATAATTAACATTCTTAAAAATTATTTTTATACCACGGGATAACTCCCTGTCAAATGGTATTGAAATACAGTTTGACGTATCTTTCTCCAGTTGAAAATAAAATTCGCAGAACTGGTATACTTTTACCTACGTTTTCTAATTGTTTTATCAACTAATGAAGGAGAATATGCATTACACTTAAGGTACGCGCACACTGACCAGCGCCGCAATCGCCGCACGCGCCGCACGAATCGCACTTTTTTTTCTTGTCGCGCACACTGAGCCGCATCAAACGCGCCACACGTGCCGCATTATTCGCTATTTTGTTTCTTTTTGCCCATACTACATCCGTATTTGCATTTGCCAATCGAATTTCTCATCAGTCGCTTCCAGAGTCCTGTCTGCGGTGATAAGCGTGTTTTTTAATATATCTTGACAATGAATGACAACGAACAAGAAATAATTATAAGCTCGTTGCTAATAGAAGAAGAAATCACGAGAAAGAATCGAAAGTTATAGGTTCACAATATTTGCAAAAATCCACATTATTTCCATATTTAATTGAGGATGAACTAAAAAATGTTCAATATGAGCCATGAAAAATTTGCGAACTTTCTTAGCATATTGAATTTCTAATCTCCTCTTCGGCTACCTATGTAGAGTGGAAGGAATTACATGTGACGTCAGCAGCACTAGCCGCATTTATCGAAAATCATTCTGGCCCAACAATGCTGGCCGCCTTTTTGTCTATGCGATTCGTGCGGCTCTGGCTAGTGTGCGCACCTTCATTGAAAGTAACACAAACAATATTTTTCTTCGGTCGATGCGGCGAGTGCGGCTCTGGTCAGTAATCTATGAACTAAGAAAGTTAAACTAGCCATCTTATGTTCAATAGTATCATAGATAATATTCTCATTCAGACTCATTAGGAATGTCTGTAGTGGTCTTTTTTTCTATAGATACCAAATTCCAGGCAATTATTAGTATTTCTAAGAACTAATACATAGAATTAGCAAGGGCCAGGGCTGATTGCAGGGAGAAAACATCCCAAAAGGGGCGACCATCATGGTCTTTCTGTCAAGGAGCAAGGGGAAAAGCACCACCTACCTGTTGAGCCTTATCCAGGCAGCACTTAATGTAAGGACATCGAGTAGGTCGAGTAATCATCTCGAGGAAGGAGGGTCATGGTCAGGTATTTTACATTAGGTATTTACCTCAAATTCAAGGAGGCAATAGAGAAAGAGGGACATATCTTCTATTATAGATTTGGGACAATACCGGTGTCAGGTATATGGAGAGACACACCTCACGGGTACCTCAGCCGGAGACAAACTCCTCCGCTATGAAGGGCACGGAGAGCCAATCCCCAACCGTGGGAGGGCGTATACCCTCGGAAGAAGAGCATTTGTTGTCAGAGGAGGATGTTGCCCTCGCAGTCATTCTACATCTACATCTAGGAATAGTAATCTATCGTTGTTCTCAATCTAATTGAACTATCTTACTATAGTTTCCTTATTTAGACTATAAATCGAAATATAATATCCAAATTGCAATATACCTAATACAAAATAGAAAGTGTCTAGTTCTCAAATTGTATAAAACTCCGTTGATACTTTTACAAAAAACATATTTTCTAGCTAAAAAATACATTATAAAGTTATTAAATTAATTATAAAGATTTTACGAACATTAAACTAAATTTTCTTTGAGAAATAAACAGAATACCTGATAATTTTAAGTACTGCATTTAAAAAGAAAAAAAAGTGTTTTTATATATCATCTAATATGCTTAAGTACCCTCTTCAAATTATGTCAGACTAAAATCAGCGTTTCGTCTCTTATTAAATAGATTAACGATTATAATCTCTATACATATACACAGTTGTATTTCCTGTATGTAAGTAAAAAGTAGGTAAAAATTTAAGGTGTATATTTCTCATTTCTGTCTTCTATTGAATAGGAACTTTTGGATTTCAGTATGAATTTCAGGCAAACACTAGTGGTAGTGTTTTATCTTTTTATTGGTGCAACGAGTTTACCTTGGTTCAATAAAAATATCAAAGAAGTGAAATGTGGATATAAGGTAATATAAAAAATTGTAAAATAATAGCTTATTTTAATTCAGATCTTCTGTAAAGACATTTTTTTAGTTATGCCTAAACGAATTTCATGATTTTGACGGTTTAGTTAAGTAACATAAACGTTTTCCAATATTTTTTCTTTTTACTGTAGAAATAATCGCTCACTGCACAAGTTATCTAACTGGTGAAGCATCTTTAAAAGATTAATAATAATCTCACTATAATACCAAGTCTTAATATAATGTCTTTCCAAATTTATAAATCCAAAATCGTCATAAGAAATGCCAAATAAACCTTAAAAGAAAGCTGTTATTTCTTATTATTTGATATATTAGTTTCTTTTCAAATTAAGAATTAATGTCCCCATCTGTTTATTATATTTGGAAAAATCAATGTTGTAATTTTGACAAAAGTTGGAAACACCCTGTGGAATGGTTTAACATAGTAAGGAATTTAATAACAAATTTATTATCAAGGTGAATATTTTCTTAATGTGTTTTGATTGATCTTAATTTGTTTTTTATTGAAGATATTCGCTTTTGAAGAATTTTGTCCTCATCAACACACATTTGAATTAGTGTTTATTATTTTTGTAACTTCCACCAAATGTTAATATTTAAAGACAACATAATAGAGATCAACTTCTCAAAACCATCTCTCCTAGAGTAAATAATAGCTAACAAATAATTATTAATAATGTATATCAATCATAACATGACTTTTTCATGTAAGTGATATTAGGAAAAAATAAAATCTTTTTTTATTGAGTCAAAAAAAAACTATGAAGAAAAAAAAGCACTTGATGATAAAATGGTTTACAAATGCTTTACTTTTTAGACCATTTAACAGGACTTGACATTTTGGTTTGCCTCGTATAATGGGCAGATGGGGATTAGACTCTAAAAATTACGTAAAAAATAATTAAAATCGGCCCACTGGAACAAATTATATTAAACTCGGTGTAATTTTTATAATTTTTAACAAAGACTCAAATAATTATGAATAGCTGAGATTCTGTTAAGTCCTTCGTCAGACCTGGTTCAACTCGAAGTGAAATGTTAATTACTATAAATTAATAAAAAGGAATTTCTATAATAAAGTATAATATTATTTATATTAAAATTAATTTCTATATTTTTTCCTTTTTTTGTAGTCCTGCAATCCTGTGAAAGATGGTTTCATTAATGTCCATATTGTCCCACATACCCACGATGACGTAGGTTGGCTCAAAACAGTTGATCAATATTACTACGGAAGTATTATTCTAAAATCAAATACGTATTATAAATTTTATTACATCTAATATTGTATAGGTAACACAGCGACTCAAAAAGCCGGGGTGCAATACATCTTAGACACTGTAGTAGATTCTCTAAGGAAAAGTGAAGACAGGAGGTAATTTTGGCTATAATTATAGATTCAATATAAATTTCAAATCAAATCAAGCCTACGAAAGCATAGAGCTGCAATTTTAGCAAAATTTACAGTTTTACTGTAAATTTACACTTTTTCTGTAAATTTGCACTTTTTCGGTTAGTTTACAAATTTTCTGTAAATTGCATGCGAATTATATTACCCAGCAAAACGACGTCTCGGCATTAGAGGTGGGCAAGGATTGAACAAGTCGTTCATTTGAACAACTATTAAAAATAAATCGTGAGATTCGATTCACTGCTTAGAATATGGTTCGTTCAATTGAATAGTGGCCAGCACGGTGTTGTATTATTGTTCAGA